TATGGGAATTCTATTTCTCTGTAAGGTAACTAGTGAACTGGCATTCATAAACTTACTAACTAACTAATACATAAATGAATGAATAAATAAATAAATAAATAAATACATAAATAAATAAAAAAGAAAGAAAGAAAGAAAGAAAGAAAGACAGAAAGAAAAAGATAAATAAATACGTAGAGAAATAGAGAAAAAAACAGGAAAACCCAAACCTCAAAACAACCACAATAACAACAATAAGGAAAAACAAAACTAATCTACTAAGCTCCGAGTGACATCAAGTTGTCCCTGGTCCGGCGTCCCCGAGATCATCGGGAGGCCAACATTCCCCGTCCGGCTGGAGAGCTTCTTTCAGGTTGGTGAAGTGTCCGGGGGAGAGGTCAGTGTGCAGCCTCTCACACATACGGCAGTGGAAAGGTTCAACATTGTGAGCCGTCCATCTGACAGTGTTGGGGGATAAAATAAAGTCAAAGATGGAACTACTGTTGTGCCTGAAGAGAGAGAGAGAGAGAGAGAGAGAGAGAGAGAGAGAGAGAGAGAGAGAGAGAGAGAGAGAGAGAGAGAGAGAGAGAGGAGGGGTGAAACGGAGAAAGAATAGAAAAAGGGGAGGGGACGGAGAAAGAGAAATTGTGAAAAGGAGGGGATGTGCTGAAGATTTGAGGTGGAAAGATGGAGGCCCTTGAAAGCTTTCTACGCAGACAGAGGTGATAAATGCACCTCTCAAAACAGCCAGATGTTAAAAAATAATGGCTTTGAGTGTGATATCAACTGAACAAATGACGTAAATGTGTATCATGCAATGGCGTATCACTGGACAAATAAAAAGAAGAAGGCTGTTGTGCAGGGTATTATCATTCAACATCTGAATAGCTTGTGGCTCTTAACGAATGAGGCTTTATAGGTCAAAGCAGACTGGGACTAGCACTGGAGGAGACCCTATTGTTTTGGTAAAACATATCATTTATATCCGTAAAGGTTCTAACTCTAATCTTTTTAACGTTAAAGAGTTGTGCCGCGCTTGAAAAGGAGACAATTATATTCCTAAGTTTCCATGACAAAGTTTAAGCAGTATAAATAAATATTTAAAAAATGATATATCATTTTTCTTGTAAACAAAAACATCAAAACAACCTAGGGGTAGAATACGTAAAAAGAAATAAAACAACAGTTATTGAACCTGGGATTACCTTAAAAATCCCAACAAACAAGACAACGAACTTTACAAAACAAAACTTAGATTTGAATCTTTCATCACAACGGCTACCAATAGTTCACTTTTTGTCACCCCCCCCCCCCCCAAAAAAAAAAAGGAAAAAGGTGATTTTTTGGTGGTGAGGTAGTGAGTTTCAGCGAAAATTGATTGACAATTATTATAATGTCCTCATTACTTCAGTTCGACTCGGACTGCCAGATTGGTACTCGTTTTGTTAGTATAAAAAAAAAAAATTCCCGACAACAAAAACAAAAACAAAACCTACAAAACCGACCAAAACAATACAAAAACAAAAAACCAGAGACAACTGTCGACTGTGCTCAAAGTGACGTAAAATTAGTGGGGTGGGGGGGGGGGGGGGGGGCTCAATCAATTAATGTCCTCTAACGTGAGAACTCACCTATCCTTGAGCTCCAGCATGCGGGTGTATCTCTTCCGGTGTTTGCTCAGGTACAGAAGATATCTCGCCAAGTCTTGAGCACTCTGGAATATACCAAACTTGAATTCTTTGATCGATTTAGAATAAGACAAAGTAGTGTTAACAGTTGCAAATATTTTTTTAAGATAAAAAGGAAGCGGGCTGCCCTGGTCTTGTTTATTAGGGTCAATCCAGGCTGTGAGAGCTACTACACATCAATTTTATAGACAGATGTGCACATTTAGTAACACATTATCCCCCTTCCCCATCTCTCTCTCTCTCTCTCTCTCTCTCTTCCCCCCCCCCCCGAAATTGGGATTCGAACCCTCGCCTTTTACCTGTATCATCATCCAGTGCCAGATCTTCGACAGACATCGGCGAACATGGTTTTCCATTCATTCCTTTGCTCAGATGCTCTAAAAAAAAGCTACGTTTCCCTGATCTTTCCCTGTTACCCTGTATAAAATTAAAATCTCACAAACCTGAAAGTCCGAGGCATCAATGAAGGAGCCCCTGGCCAGGTATCGCTTATAGTCCAGCCCTCCTCGCACTACAGGGATGACATCCACGTTTTCAAACAGCTTGAAATACTTCTCAGACACATAGCTCTGGCAGAAAGAGTTCTCGAAGGACAGGTAAAACCTGGACATTAAAAAAAAATCACTGTGTTTTTCAAATGCATCATTTATCAAGACATCTGACTCAACTTTTAGAGAAAATCGTCGGTGTCTCAAGCAATCACTTAAGTCCCATTGGGTACTTTTTACACCAGAGAAAAACAAAACAAAACAAAAAAACAACAAAAAACAAACAAACATAAAAAACCCCAAACAAACCAAATAAAAACAAACAAACAAACAAAAAGCCCCCCCCCCCACCAACGAATCTTCTTTTTTGATGTTTTTTTTTTATCTGATGTATGTTTCTTTTATATTCTTTCTCTTTAATGTTGATATCTGCGCAGCGTCCACGACTGACGGTCTCTGTGCGAGGGCGCATAGGCGCGTATCGAGTGTGCGTGATGTGCTAGTGCAAATGCAGTCTTATTCCTATCGTCTGTTTTTTTTTTTTTCAATCTGATAGAATAAATA